AAAGGGCTGTCTGCTAGAGTTCTCAACTTCCCATTTTCGGGTCAGCTGAGGACCCTGCTTCCTCCAGCGCTAGGATTCAAGTCAGATGAGGTGGTGCACACCTGTAATCCCAGCACTGGAGAGGCTGAGGCAGGAGGTTCATGCATTCAAACCCAGAATGTACAGCTTATCAAAATCGTTCTCAAAAGGGGTAGGGAGTGGGGGAGCAGGACCTGGGGATGTTGTTCATCGGTTAAGCTGCCCTCTGTCCTGGAGGCCCCTCCCCTAGGGGTGGCCCAGGGGCGAATAGCCCCTGGGTTATCTCCAGTAGGGCAAATTCAAAGCCCAACCGGCATATCTCTGGTGATGTTTCCAGAGCCTGGGGCCTGGCACTCACCACTCACTGGACACCTGGTGAGGGGCCTGCCCTGCCTAGGTGTTTGTGTGGGAGCTCAGGGCGCCCTGTTAGCTGATGGGGAAGCAGGAGGCCCAGGCAAAACCCAGAAGTAGGGCACCCTTCACCTCACTTCCTCCCTAGGGACTGGAAAGTGGGGTCAGGTGCCCAGAAGTGACATGGGCCAAAAAAGGAGCTAGGGAAGCAGCAGGCTGGACAGCCAGGCCACTTCATCCACCACACCCGGACCCTCGACGTGACAGATCCAACCCTGCTCTGTCAAGAGTCAGAATAACTTTATTCCCTTGGGGGTGGCCAGGTGGAGTTAGAACTTCTGGAACTGCTTCTTGGTGCCGGCAGCCTTGGTGACCTTAAGCACGTTGAAGCGTACGGTCTTGCTCAGGGGCCTGCACTCGCCCACTGTGACGATGTCGCCAATCTGGACGTCCCTGAAGCAGGGGGACAGGTGCACCGACATGTTCTTGTGGCGTTTCTCAAAGCGATTGTATTTGCGGATGTAGTGGAGATAGTCCCGGCGGATGACAATGGTCCTCTGCATCTTCATCTTGGTCACCACACCTGGGGGTGGGGGCAGTAAGATCATGGCTCAGTCAGGTCTTGTTGGAAAAGCAATCACAGGTATCTCAGGGCATGCCGGGAATCATGGGTCCCCCAATCCTGTTTCTAGCATCAGTGTTGCCAACCGGCTTTCTCAGCAGTGCCGTGACAGGCTTCTGAAGACCATCGTGAGAACAGACATCATCTGCCAGTGCCCCAGCCCTCTTTTTCCCCACAGCTCAGGGTTCCAGTCTCCACTCACCAGACAGGATACGCCCCCGGATGGACACGTTACCGGTAAAGGGGCATTTCTTATCAATATAGGTGCCCTCGATGGCCTAAAAGGATGAAGAGCAGTGGAGTGAGCGCTAGATAGGTTCTGAACACAACTGGGGGCGTGGCCCTGGAACACAAACTACAATTCCCAGCAGCCCCAGCACACCCACGGCACAGCAGTCCGGGCAACGCTGCTCCCCCACGTGCAGTCGTAGGGATGTTCCGTTTTCTTCTATGGTTCCTCCCTCACCTCTTTGGGGGTCTTGAAGCCCAGACCGATGTTCTTGTAGTACCGAGGGAGCTTCTCTTTGCCAGTTTCTCCCAGAAGAACCCTCTTCTTGTTTTGGAAGATAGTCGGCTGCTTCTGGTAGGCGCGCTCTGTCTACAGGGATGGAGACGTGGATGAGCTTGGAACGGGCCGAGACCGGGGCAGGAAGTGACTCTCCCGGCGCCCCCAGGTCCCACACTACAGCATTAGTCTCATATGCCACCCGTGGGGGCCCAGCACCCCAGAATCTCCCCGTACCACACACCCACTCCAAAGCTACCTGTAATCCACAGGTGGCTCTTACTTAAGTCGAATTCCGACTGTTCAGTTTGTATACTCTAGCACACCTCCCCGCTACCCTTAGGACTCACCCGCAGAATTAAACTTTCAGTGAAACATTCAAGACATCACCTTCTAACTCTTTAAGTTTTAAGAGTTTAAATCCTAAGACGCTTCAAAATCGATTAACGTAAAAGCTCGCAGGCTTCAGGAAGCATTAATCTACTTTAAAAAATGCACACTGCCGTAACCCCCGTTAGTACCTAGCAGATGGAAGACGCCCGGAATAAACTCCAAACGGGGCCCGAGGTCCTGCCCTAGCGGACGCTCCCGGGAAGCTGGGGGCGGGACACGCACCTTGGCCCCAGCTCCGAGCACCCACCTGAATATCCGCCATCTTTCCAGCCGGCAGAAAAAAAGAGAGAGACGGCGGCGTGCGGGTTTCCTTATCGACTGTCCAGGGGCCAGACAGGAAATGACGAAAGGAGGCGGACCCACATCTGTGTGCGGTGCTTTGGGAGCGATTTTGATCGACAGGTGGCACTAACCAACCGTGCGATTCTGGGACCACACGAACGCGGCCATACTAGTGAAGGAATGAGGAGCTGGAAGCGGCGCAGAGACTCGCGAGATTTCCACCTAGCGTTGCCGCCCGAGAGCACCGTGTGACGGGAGGGCGTGGCTTACGCTATCGCGATACTTGTAAGGATGGCGCCATGTTTTTGCGGGGCGTCTGTTCGCTTGGAATTCGGAGACCGCGTGGTGGTGTAGGTTTAGGCATGGAACCTAAGGTCATGGTGGCAGCCATTTTCCTGTGGGATAGGCACAAGGATCCTTGGCGCACTACGGCTCCGCCATTGTTGTGTGGGGCGGGGCCTGCCCCGGGATTTCAGTCTTTTGTCAGTTTCTCTTCACCTGTCTACTTCGCCCCAGACTGTGATGGGGGGAGGTCCTTCTGTCCAGCACCCTAGCCTTGGTACTTGAAATGTACCTTTTGATAACCGAGAAACAGGTTTCAGTTTTATTAGCTTTAAATGTAATTAGGCCTACGTGGTAATGGGTACTGCGTAGAACGCAGATCTGTATTGCAGTACTGAACCAGGACCCACACTGGGCTACAGCTCAACCTTTTTTTTTTTTTTTTGCAAAACTGGGGATTGAACTCAGGACCTTGCGCTTCCCAGGCAAGCGCTTATTCTGTCTGAGCTCTCTTCCCGGCCCCCTTACACTTTTTGAAACAGGGTCTCAGTTGGTAATTGTCCCACTTTGTTCTCCAAGTTGATCTTGTTTCAAGTCTTTTTAAAAGGATGCTGCTTTTGGAAGTACCGAATGTAGAACTTTATGCTTTTAAGGCTCTGAACAGCTAGCCAGGCTCTTTGGTTTTGGCAGAGAAACACCCGGCCCACTGCGCTCTCTGCACTTGTGTTAGGAGTTACCTACCCCGGACAGCCCCTGGGAACTGGGGAACTGTGACGGGGCACTGGCGTCCTCACTCTGCAGAATACTTAGGGTGGAATCTCCCACAGCTTATCCGAGAAGTGCAGTAGCTATCACCTAGATGGGGCCTGAGCGGGACAAAATTCCCTAATAAACCTTCCCAAGCTGGGGGGCTGGGGAGATGGCTCGGTAGAGTAAGGGGTTGCCTGGTAAGCACAAGGGTCTGAGTTCAATCCCTGGTTCTGCACAAAAAAAAAACCCTAAATTGACTTAGGGATTTAGCAAGCCCACGTTATAAACTCACATCCTTTCCTAACACCAGGTGATGGGGACCCTCTTAAAACTAGCAATCCCCTGCCGGCTTGGGTGGCACACCATCCGTACCTGGGCCAGCCTCAACTACAAGACTGTCTCCAAACTGACAATTTGCTACTTTGCAGTCCCGAGTTACACAGCTTTTAACCAAACGAATACAACAGCCACCACAGGTTGTGTTAAGATCTACAAGTTACATTAGAGAAGGCGCATCAAGCTCATTTATCTGAGGTACTGCCTGTGTAAGTGCCCTCCCGAGTGAAGGCCATGTTCCCAAGACCTGCCTCCACAGCACACATGCAAAGACGCCACATTTGCTTAAAAATAATTTATTTGATTCTGGTGAGAGGGAAGGCCAAGTGGTGAGGCTGCAGTGCCGTATGTGTGCCTCTGGCCATCCCACAACCACAGAGTACGGCATTAGGCCACAGGGGCAGGGTGCCCCAGCAGGAACCTGGTGGTAGTTCTATTCCTTCTCTAAGGTTCTCCTCAAGGTTAGAAATTCCATCGTGTGAGACTTAAAGCTGTTCAAGTACCCTCACGGGAAGACTTTGGGCAGAGACTACAGTGCTTTCTTCCTCCCAGCTTGGGGCCCCAGGGGGCCTGTGGCACCCAGACAGCTGCCCCTAGGGCCCCCACATCCCAGGGCGGCGCTGGAGGAAGGGCAAGCCAGGCCAAGCATGAGGCAGAAAGTCTTTATTGGGCTCAGACCAGAAGTCCGTGGGTCTTGAGGACCTCTGTGAACTTGCTGATTTTCTTCTCCACATTCTTCTCAGCCTGTTTCCGTAGCCTCTGTGGGGACAATGATAGCTGGGGGTTAGTGGCTGCCCTGGGCTGCAAACAGCTGGGCAGTGCAGCTATGAGAAGCAGCTCTCACCATGATCTGCTTCTTCTTCCTGTAATGGATCTTGGCCTTCTCCTTCCTCTTCTCCTCTAGGGTGGCTGTCACTGCCTGGTACTTCCAGCCAACCTCATGAGCCAGGCGGCCCAGGTAGGCAAACTGCAGAAGGAAAGAGACTGTGAAGACAGGTGGGTCGGGTGCCAGTCTTTAGCCTAGCACTCACAGGATGTAGGAGCAAACTTAGTAGGACAGACTCAGTCCCTACTATCACCCCCCAGCTTAGACTGGGGCCAGAGGCAGGAGTCCTACCTGCGAGGGTATCTACCCCTGCCCACCCTTCAAGAGGCCACCCCCACTCCCTGTCCAGCTCCCCACTGCTGGCATCAGCTGAGCCTTTGGCGTTATCGGCACTGCCCACAGTGGCATCCGAAGACCATCGTGAGAAAAAGCCATCATCTGCCAGGCTTGGGGACGTTGCCTTTACCCCACCAGGAAGCCCCCACCCCTATACCCACTGCGACCTGGAACTTACTTTCCTCGTTGGCTTCAGGCGCACAACCTTGAGGGCAGCAGGAACCACCATCCGCTTTTTCTGTGGACAGAGAGGGGCTTAGAGCGCTGGGGAGAGGACTTGGGACAGATGCTGCTGGGGTGGGCGTCTCAGTCAGTGTTCTTTTCAGAAGGCTCAAACAATGTAGGTAATTATGAAACATCACAGACGCCAGACAGACAGGTGCTGGGAGCAGGCCTGGCGCACCTTGTCATAGGGTGGCGGGATCCCATCAAACACCTTGAGGCGGTCCAGGGCAGCCTGGCCTCGCTTGGTCTTGTGGGGCAGCATCCCTGGGGACAGAGTGGTAGAGGCTGCTGAAGGGCTCACAGGACACTCAGTTCCCCTCCAGCACCAGCTCAGTGGCCTCAGATGGTAGTGCATGTGGAGTCTTCTCATGGTTGGGAAACTCGAACACGAGTGGGAGAAGTCCTCATCACCAGCCACCAGCCCCACCGCCCACCGCCCAGTCTCAACCTGGCTCACCTCGCACAGTACGCCAGAAGATGCGGCTGGGGGCCCGGAAATGGTAGGGGCCGCGGGATGGGTTGGTGTTCATCCGCTTGCGGAGGAAGGCCAAGTACTTCACTGGGGGGAGAGCACAGGACGCCTGCCTGGTCTGTCAGATCTGACAGCCCCCAGAGCCCCAGGGTCTTCCTGCTTGCAGAGCAAGGAGCCTCAGCCCCCATGGGGAGACCCCATCCAGCAGTCATCTGGGCTCTGACTTACACTTATTTCTGTAGAAATTGCCAGAAATGTTGATACCCTCGCAGCGCACAACCACCACCTTGCGGCCTAGTGGGGAAGAGAACAAGGGAACATCATCCTATCAATGGACTGATACATAAGAGCAGGCCAGCCTCCCACTCAGAAGTCACACAGCAGGCGGCTCTCAACCAGAATCACTTTCGAGCTGGCAGCTGGCAGGTCTCAGAGCGGTGCATGGGGTTGATCTCATGGTCGTGAGACTCAAACGAAAGATGGTGATTGTTGCTCATCACTGACCTCCAGTAAGAGCTAAAGGCAGGGAGAAGTGGGCAGAAAAACTTACCTAGCAGTACCTGCTTGGCCACAATGGCCGCCAGGCGGCCCAGGAGATGGCCTCGGCCATCCAGCACCAGGACCTGTAGGAGACAAGGTGTCATGAGACCACACCCCACTTTACCCAGGTGCGTCCTGCCAGACCCAGTCACTTGCAGCTAAAGAAATTCCCACAAGGAGGCAAAGGGTGACCCAGCAGGCGGTGAGCTTAGACACGTAGAACTCGGCTCTGGTGCTTCACAGGCAAGAATGACCAAGATTCCACCCGACTGTAAACAGTCCCCAGTCACCCAGCTGTAACTATAGCCACTTGTGTGAACTGCAGGCTTTCTTCTGTTTCTGGTCTTTTCAGAGAGGATCTTCCCTCGTTGCCGGGGTAAGCTCATGCCTGGGCTGAGGTTGCTGCCACCAGTTTCCCAGTAGCTAGCCTACAGATGAACCTCACCACACCCAGCGCTGCCACGAATTCCTTAAGCACCTGAGACAGCTTCAGGTGGGATAAGGTGAAGACGACCAGTGCAAAGCCCAAATTGCTTCTAGGTCCCAGGGAAACTTGCAGAAGCTGATCCTCAGCAGCCTCAGCACGACCAAAACTCTTATTCTAACCCTTACTGTATACTGTAACCTATCAATAATGTGGCCACTTCCTGATTACTGGGGGCAGTGAACAAATGTACAAAATCTAAAGCCAGACTCCCCCTGACAAGTTCTTGGCTAAAAAATCTCCAGGGCCCCATTTTGCCACGTAAAAACTGAGGCTGGCACCCGTTTCAGGAATAGGCAAGAACCGCTCTTCAACCAAGCCCAGAAGCACGTGCTGCCCCTTGCCTGCATCTGCCCACCGCGATTGTGGGCTCCCCACCCAACAAAGCAACTAAAAAACGTGGAGCACCTCAATAAGGACCCCCCCCCCAGCTTCGACCTCGTGTACAGGGGCTCCACGGCCAGGCAGGGAGCAGAAGCCTCCGCTGTTTCGCAGCGGCCAGTGCTGGGACGCTTTTATGCGACGCCATCCCCGCGTCTTTGGCCACAGGAGCAATGCGCCTTCAAGGTATCCACCAGCCCCATGAAAAGGACAAAAGAGCCGACAGACCCATCCATAGGCTGCAGCTGAAGAGGATTTAAATTAAAACACCAGACATTACAGAGAAGCTACAGTAGCGCTCCCACATTTCGCGCTTAACAGTTGCGTCCATCTTGGCCAGTTCCTGGCGCCACGACGCCGGCTACTTTTGCGTGTCGGCACGGCCGGGGTCGCACAAGTTAATTAATTCATCTTGCCAGATCCCGACCGATAGGGCCCACAGTAAGAGATCTAACTATAAAGAAAAAAACAAACCACTGGATCTTTCTGCCCTGGCACTCCCATCATTGCTTTTCACCTCAGAGAACGCCCTAATTTTAAGTCCGCTCTGGATCTAAACACAGCAAGTTTCGTCTAAGCCCACGTTACCGATTTCCCACATGTCAAGCGGTCCCACTTTGCCTAAGTGTCACCTATAAATTTCGTATCACAGAAAAAAACGAAAACAGGATACAACTCCGTCCCCGCCCGGATCCCGCACGACCCCATGCCATTCCAACCCGCAGAGAGCCGAACCTGCCCCTCCGCCATCTTCGGCAGACGCCCGGGAAAGGAGGAAATGTTGGCGCAGGGTTTCTTATCCTTTGCTTCAGGGGCGGAGGAAGTGACGTAACCTAGGCTACGCGAACACACTTCTGTCTTTTGATTGGCCAAGATGCTTCGCGCGTGGATAGAGACAACCCACCAGAAGGCGGACCGTTCTCGGATTGCCCAATCAAAGGAGCAGATCTTGGCGGCCATGGTTGTGCGGGGCGAGACGTCACGTAGGGCGTCGGACGGCTCTGCTGGGGCGGAGCCGTCCAGCCTTGGCCGCCATATTTGTTAGGGGCCGCTCCTTTCGCTTTGTCCGCCATATTTTTGAGGGGAAGTCACGTAACTCCCTCTAGCGACTGAGGGCTGCAGGATACTTGATGGCCCGCAGGGGGCGACCTGCCTGACCAGCCTCAGGCTATCTTGACATCCCAATTCCCTGGGTTCACTGATTCCTGAACAAACCCTTGGCCTTGGCTGGGCCTCAGCATCCGCAGCTGTGAAACAGGCGGAGGAGGTCGTTTTCGTGAAGTCCGGAGGGGATTCAGGGGCGACTCCCAAACGCCTGGTGGCGACATCTATGGAGGTTCTGCTGCTGAGCATCTCACTTTCTAGACTTGGGGGTTTTGTTTTCAAAGACGGTCTTGCTGTGTAATCTAGGCTGGCCTCAAACTCACTGCCGCCATCCTGCCTCAGCCTCCTGAGTACTGGAGGAGGCTGAGGCAGGCGTGCACCACCAGGCGTGGCCAGCATTCTGTCTACTCCTGGGACGCCATCCCTGCCCTATACCCTAGCACCTCTAGTATCTGGCTGGTCACAACCCGCACTCTCTGGCTCAGGAGTCCTTTCCCGCGGAGCTTTCCCAGGCTGCCTCCGGAAGGGCGTGGCAGCCCATCCCTTGGCTCTCAGATCCCAGATCTCTCTCAAAGACTCGATCCCTGATATAGTAGTGCTAGTGATCCTAGCACTCCGAGGGGAGGGGAGGCAAGAGGATCACCTTGCATTTGAGGCCAGCATGGGCTAAGTATTGAGCTCACTCACGCCCAGCCTGAACTGCACAGCTGGAAGCTGTCTCAAAAAAACAATAAACAAAAAATAAAATTAAAAAAAAAGGGGGGGGCTGGTAAGATGGCTCAGTGGTCTAAAGCACCTACTTAGAACAAGCTTAGCAAAGCACAGGGACCGCGGTTCAATCCCCAGCACCACATGCCAGCCAGCCCCGCCCCCTGGTGGGCTGAGCTGGCCACACACACACACACACACACACACACATAAATAAATAAAATTAAAAAAAACAATAAACAAGGAAAACAACTACAAAAAAAAAAAAAAACCATAAAAAGCAAACAAAGGAAAAACAAAACTCTGATCCTACGCCAGACCAGGCTAGTTTTCCTTCATATCTGAGTTCTGGCATTACCCAGCACTGGCCCTGGGTCCCAGGAGTCTACAGAAAACAAGAACTCAAGCCTGGCAGCGCACTCGTATAATCTCATTTGAGAGCCTGAGACGGGAGGATGGCAAGTTCAAGTCTAACCTGGGCTAAGTCACATGACTCTGTCTCAAACAGACAAAGGAGAAAAGAAAAGCGCTGGACACAGCGATGCATATCTGTAATCCCAACACTCAGGAGGCCGAGGCAGGAAGATCAGAACGAGTTGGAGACCAACCTGGGCTACAAAGTGAGCTCAAGGCCAGCCTGAACTGCATAGCGAGACCCTGTATCAAAAAGAAAAACAGAAAAGAGAAAGACAACAGAATGAAACACTGCACCATAACTGAAAAACCAGGGGCCAGGGTTATATATAGCTCAGTGGTATAAGCACCTGCCTGGCAAGCTCAAGGTTCCGAGTTCAATCCCTGGTACTATACACAAAGAAGAAATAACTGAAAACCAAAGGCGAAATGGCACCATCTGTGCCCTGTCCCTTCCACAGACAGGCGGCCAGAGCTGGTAGAAAAGAACGATTTATATACAGGTTTCTGAGGACAAGGGCTTTGTACAGCGAGGGGTGGGTGGGCTGGGGCTGCGTCCTGGCGTTGCCTCCGTCCTGGGAAGAGCGCCAGAGTAGCAGCACTGATGAAGGGCGGCAGCAGCCTGTGGCCAACTCCCGCTGTGCCCGGCATGTCCTCTGGCTGGTGTCTCCTCTGCCTGGCCGTGTCCTCCTCTGTGAACAGGATGACAAATGCGTCGGCTTCCCCAGGCTGTTTGCAGGTCCGCGGAGGAGGACAGAGAGCGCGGCCTCTGCTGCAGAGCTGTTCTCTCGCTAGCCAGGAATGCCCGGCCATGCGTGAACTCAGGGTCTTGGCGTTCAGCCAGTGCCTCTGAGGAACTGAATTTTTAATTTCACCTAATTCTAACTATTTTTGCTGGGCACAGTGGTGCACACCTGCAATCCCAGCACTTACTTGGGATACTGAGGTAGCAGGATCCGTAAGTGCTCAAGGCCACTTTGACCCACATAGCAAGACCCTGTCTCAAAAGTAATAAGGGGCTAGGGGCTGGTGAGATGGCTCAGTGGTCTAAGGCACCTACTTAGAACAAGCTGAGCTTAGCAAAACACAGAGACCGCGGTTCAATCCCCCAGCACCACATGCCAGCCAGCCCCGCCCCCTGGTGGGCTGAGCTGGCCACACACACACACAAAATAAGTAAATAAATAAAAAATCTTTAAAAAAAAAAAAAAAGTAATAAGGGGCTAGGGAGATAGCTCAGCGACTTAAGCACCTGCCTGGCAAGTACAAGGTCCTGAGTTTGATCCCTAGTATCTCTCCCCCCAAAAAAGAAAGCTGGGCATGATGGTGCATGCCTGTAATGGCAGCACTAGGGAGGCTGAGGCATGAGGACCGTTGCGAGTTCGAGACCAGACTGGGCTACAAAGTGAGCTCAGGGCCAGCCCAACTGCATATTGAGACTCTGTGTCCAAAAGACGAACAAAGAAAGAATTAATTGGTATTTCTGATAAAAATCTTTTCTTTCAAGGAGACTGAAGCAGGAGTTCGAGGCCATCCTTGACTACATACTGAGACCTGTCTCAAGTGTTACTTGAATCGGGATGTGGTGGCACAGGCTTGTAATCCCAGCATTCAGGAGACTGAGGCAGAAGAATCTGGGGTTTTTGCCCCTCCCCCCATGGAGGATCATAAGTGCAAGCCAAGCCTGGAATACTAATACCCCCTCTCCCGGGGTGGAGGACATTTGGGGCTGGGAAAGTAGCTCAGAGGCACAGTACTTACCTGGCACATGTGAGGCCCTGGCAATAAAAAAAAAAAAGTAGAAGAAAACAAGAAACAAGTCAAATCTTGGTGGCAAATATTGTCCCTCACAAGCTGTGTAGCTCCTGGTAAATGGTTTGCCTCTCTGTGCCTTGGCTTCCAGCTGCACAATGGGGTGAGGATGGCGCCACTTTTCAGTGAAGCTCCAGAGCAGCGCAGGTCCCTGAGGTGCGCTTCTGGCGGGAGCGCACTGGGCCCAGGGACCCCGGGGCCTCCTATCCTGGTCCGCAACAGTTTCTAGTCGCTGTCCCTTCCATGCACCTAGTGGCTCCCCTTCCCCGCTGGCTGATGTTACTGGGGCCCCCTGAGCTTGTG